TAGAATTGTGTAATTATTTTACCGTACTAACAACACGGGTACTAAGAAAAAGTCCAAACACGAGTGTTTCGCCGATCTTGTGCCACTGCCTGACGCAGCTGCGAGGGGTTCGAACCGAGCCTGAAAAGGTCTGTTCCGTAGGGTTTACTCCAAGTACGCGCATTAATTTCCTCGGAAATTAAACAAGGCAGGATAAAACTGAAGTTTATAAATCAGAAAACACAGAGGAAACGCTGGGGAACCCAGTGATGAGCCGAGCCCCGTGCAGCTGCGTCAGGCAACGGCACAAGATCGCAAAACTCACGTGTCTGGGCTTTTAGCTATTATCTCTGCTGTCAGTATGGTACCTAATTACGTAGTTGTATATTACTGACTGCCTGTTGGCGGCTTGTGAATATTACGCGGTTATTCCACAGTACCTGATAGATTTAAGTTCAAATATTCATATCGAATTTCGGACCGTGCCTAAAAAGGTCTGTTCTGGGAGATTTACCCCAAGTTCGCGCATTAATTTCCTCAAAAATTAAACAAGGCAAGTTAAAACTGGAGTTCATATACCAGAAAGCATGCGGGGAAAGCTGACGGACCCACTGATGAGCCGAACCCTTCGCAGCCGCGTCAGGCAACGGCACAAGATCGCAAAACTCACGTGTCTGGGCCTTTGACTAATACCTGCGTTGTTAGTGCGGTAACGTGATTACACAATTATATACTAATGGCTGACTGTTGGTGGTTTGGGAGCATTACGCGGTTATTTCGCAGTTGCTGATGGATTTCGGCCCAAGTATTCATATCAACTTTCGGACTGAGCATGAAAAAGTCTGTTTCAGAGAATATACTCCAAGTTAAAGCGCTTATTTACTCGGAAATTTAACAAGGAAGGAAGAAGGCACATTAAACAATCGTCTGATGCAGAGGCGGTTGAGATAGACAAATACCTCAAGACGTCCTTAAGCAAAAGAAACTTTACCCATCAACTCTAAATGTACGTGAGACGAAACCCGATACTAACGTGAGGCGAACATTAAACGGTACCTCTGACACAGTTTTTGACGTCCATCCTTCCCATGCCCAGCCACATTTTCTATGTCGTAATTTTAGTCAGCATCCTATGTGTAAAACAGTCAAGTCCTCATGTTTGACGTGCCTACCAGGGCGCTCGCCTGGACACAGAAACCAGTTTAGGTAATGAATTGGGACACGGATACACGTGATGCCCCGTGATAATATTAAAACACATATGGAATTAGGTTCGGCTCTAAACGAGACATGATGTTAAGTCGTTCAGCTGAGGTATCGTAACTGAATGAATGTGCGAAAACTATATGGTGCCTTCTAACTCAATTAGGATAACGCACATGTTAACGCGAATTAGTAAACTTAACAAACATGAGCCAATCGCCCATTTTTCTGACCTCCAGAGTAGTTGATCTCCCATAACAGAGTACAGGTACACAGATTTATAAGTCACAGCAAGACTTCCCCACCTGAAGGCCATGTCTGCAAGTAAACTTACTCCGGCCAACCTTCGCCCGTGGTCACTGTGAAGAGAGTGAGCATTGCGAAGACAATGTTGTCATAGTTGAAGGAACGAGAACTCCAGATCCGTGGCTTGACGGCCGGTTCGCTGTCCTCGTAGGAGATGAAATAACCCCTTTAGGTGAAAAAAACAAGAAGGCGGAAAAGGGATGAGAGGGTGTGGTGTGTACTGTCCAAGCACGTAAGACACTGCAGTTAGTCCTCTTTTTTATCATCTCGATCAGATTCAAACTGACTCAAGGATCCTGCCACTAAAAAATATTTTTGTTTACCGAAGGTGGACGTATGCGTACCTCGAGTGATTATGCCTGGGTAAATTTTTTTCTGTCGTTTATTACCCGCTATTTAAAGATTGACTTTCATAAGACTATAACTCGGACAGTTAAGGCCTGAACACAATTAAACTGTACAAGGCAGCATTAGGTTTATTTGAAGCCTGCCGTGCAATCATAGAAGAACTAAACAATCTACGGAAATTTAGCAAGAATTCCGGACGTACTTTGCTACACTGATAATGTTTGCCTAGGAATTTTTCGAAATGCAGCCACCATTATTTGCGCGCTGGTGTAAAGCTGGTGGCTTGCTTCTAGCAGCTTCCCCTATTGCCTCCTAAGTAATGACAAGTTGACGTATTCATTTTATCTGTGTAAAAACAAGTTAAGAATACAATTCCCTGCTGTCCAGGCGTCCCAGCATAAAAATTGGGTAAATCGCCTGTCGGCTGTGATTTCTGAATGTGAACCACTTGTTTTTTAGCACCCAGAGGATTAATTGACTGTCCCAATTCTTAGCGCAGATCCTTGTATGACCTTCTTCTACACTGGGGCTCCTTTTGCATCTATAAGTCGGCCATTTTGGCGCTTTTGCTAACTGTTGTTCGCCTACAGCAGGAATTTATTTTAGACTTATCTAAAGAAATGCGAAGGGCCGTTTTCCGGGTATGATAGCTTTGAAAGTACAGTGACCCCCCCATCCCCCTCGATCACGAGGTTGGGTTCCAGAACCCACGTGTAAAGCAAAATTCCACGAAGTAAAAACCATATGCTTCTATGGCTACCTTTATATATTTTCAGTCCTTGTAAACTCTCCCAAAAACTTATAAACACTCCTCACATAGTTATACCGCATATCTACTTCTATTATATACGGCGCCCCGTGGGCAAACCGACCGACCATTGTCCGCATAAATTCGCGAACCAGGATCCACTGCGTCATCAGTGAATTATGAGCTAGGTGTGAGGGATGGTGAGGTTTCACGAGCTACATAATTGATCTTTTTGGAAGGTTAAGCCGGTTTCTTTGTAATGGTCGATGAATTTAATTAGAATTCCCACTAACCTAATGTTTCAACAACTTCCATGTAAAAAGTTTTGAGGGCGTCCGCTTTGCAAAATGAGAAGGGTTGAGCCCTCCTTTACGCATGCGAAAGGGAAAACGGCTCCTTACAGGTAGCAGACAAATCACTTCCCGAGTATCCTTTCCGTTTGTACGATTTATTCTGCACTTTATTTGGTGAGTGAAGTGCGGTATCCCAGAGTTATGCAATTACATGTGACATGGAAAGCTTCTTTTGTTTCATGTGTTCGGCTTATATTCTCTAATATTTCGGACTTCCCCGGATGTCGACTTTTGAATGCTTTTCTTTTCAACCTTCTGCAGAAAGCACACTCGGTAAAAATGACCACTTAAGTATCATGCATTTTTAACGTTCGTTTTCGATGGTCTTATACATTCAAACATATTGTACAAAAATCACGCACAAAAGGGATTTTTTGCTTCGTTTGATAGAAAATCACATTGTCATCATATTTTGTACCCAAAGTTTCCCAATTCCCGAATAATGTTAAGCCAGATCAACCGTTGTATTAGCGTTTAGCGATTAAAATTTACAAGGTGCATGTTTTCGGCGTACAGAAAATCACAGACACCTCTATGCCCTTAAGAAGATAACATATAGAGTTCATAAAATTTTGCAGTTGATGCGAATTATGTTGTACATTTCGTGAGGATCATTGGTAAATGGACAGGTTCGATACTGTATAAAAGGACTTCGAACAGGCTTAAAAAATCTCATAATAAGAAACTTTTTAAAAGCAAAAAACAACCTTTATTCGGGTATATAATGTGAAGTCAATGTGATTTTCTTTCAAAAGAGTAAAAGTAAGCTCTTTTGTGCATGATTTTTGTAAAATATTTTTGAATTTTTAAGATCATCGAAAGCGAACGTGGAAAACGCATGCTACTTAAGTAGTCGATTTACCGTGCCTGGTTTCTGCGGGAGGTCGAAAAGAATTGCATTCAAAAGCCGACCTCCTGGCAAGTCCGAAATATTATAGAATTATGCCGCGCGATAATCAATATTACAACCCCACGTAAGTAATCCTTCCTAATCGAGAACTCATTGAGAATTTCGGCCAACATTTCATGAGATCAGTCTATCACTGTCGTGCATATGGATTTGACTCGAGTTAGCTTAAGATAAAACCATAGCACAAAAGATATCGGTGCTTCAGCCAAATGTTTTCCACAACGAAAACGTCACTCGGCTTTTAGTGGCAGAGCGATTTAAGGATCACATTTCCTGGCGGGCAAAACTTAATGGGAATTCAAGCATTGCACTTAGGACTGTCATGAAAGCCATTAATTAGTCTGAAAGGAGCACTTTTCTTCAAAAAGCCAGTCAGGCCACCCCAGCACAGTGAAAACATTAGACTCCTCCTCTGTAGTCATATAAAATAACTTTGGAAGTTGTGCTTATTTAGAAAGGTTGGAACATAATGACTACACCAAAACCCAAAGCTAGCATGGCATTTTCCAGACAATTCCCAAAAATTTCCACTGAGGACAAAAGTAAACAGTCATTAAGCTGCTTAGCATACACTTGCTGGCTCAAATTTCGCCATATATGGCACACCTACTTAGACGTCTAGTGTTTCCGACTACTGAGTTAAAACAATTTCAAAAATCTTTCCAATTCCCGAATAATTTTTAACCCGACCTGCCATTACACTTGCATTCAGAGTTTATAAACTACAGACCATACATTTGCTGCGTACAGAAAAACATAAATTTCTCTACGGTGTTAAGAGGAGACCGTATGGAGTTCACCAAGTTGAACAGTGGATGTGAACCGTATTGTGGACATTATACGCATCATTAATTAATGCTGACATATGACGTTTTATGAAGGGGCGTTCCATGGTATTGAAAAGTCCCATAAGAAAGTTTTTTTGAAACCGAATTATACCCTTCCATCAAATATTAAACTATACGAAGACGTAATTTGCTACCGGATGGGTAAAAGAATGAGTATTTTTATGCACTTTTTCTATGGAATATAATTGAATTTTTAGGGAAATCGACAATCAGTGATAAAAACTCACTACTACTTACAGTGAGTGACCGATCTCATGAAAAGTTGGCTGAAATTCTGAAATTCGGCTGACGCCAAACCTGTTAACATGATTGCAGCAGTGGAATCAATTCTTTGTCAGACGGAGGCAACGGAGGAGACTAAGAACCTCATCCGACACCAAGTGTCGTCTCTCCTGATGGCCCACAGGCCGCGGGAAGTGCTTTCCAAGGTCGAACGTGATGCGCTTAGAGAACTCAAGGCCGACAAAGACCTGGTCATCGTGCCAGCGGACAAAGGACGCGCCACAGTTGTACTGGACAGGACAGAATACCTTCAAAAAGCCAAAGGTTTACTGGATCACCGACAGTTCTATATCCCATGTGCAACGAACCCTTTAAAGGCGCTGACACGCGAAATTAATGCAACTTTTTTGGCCTTGGAGAAATCCGTGCAATAACACCGACCGACAGACGCATGGCGAGACTCCAAGATACAACTTTGGCCCGATTCTATGGCCACCCTAAGGTGCACAAAGACAGCGCTCCTCTCTGACCCATCGTGTCGCTCAAAGGGACTCCAACGTACGGACTGGCTAAGTGGCTGTTCCGGCGTCTCAAGTTCCTGACCGCTGAGTCAGACACCACGGTCTCTTCGTCAGCAAAATTCCTGGAGAAACTCAAAGGGGTAAGCATCCATCCAAATGAGGTCATGGTATCTTTTGATGTTACATCCCTTTTTAATTCTATTCCCCAGGACCTGGCGATCGAGACAATTGAGCTACTACTACAAAGCAAATACGATGAAACGAAGAACCGTCTTGGACACGCCCAAATCATTCAGCTCCTGAAGCTCTGTCTCAGGACGTACTTCACGTTCAACGGGACAATCTACGAACAGGTGAAGGGCACACCAATGGGTTCGCCGATTTCGGAATTCTTCGTCGGGGCGGTCCTGCAACGGTTAGAATCGCTGGTCTTCCAACACCACAGACCGAAATTCTGGGCCCGGTATGTAGATGGCACCTTCGTCGTCATCGAGCGGGATCAGGTGCTGACGTTGAAAGAACATCTCAACGCCGTCTTCCCGGACATTCAATTTACGATGGAGGAGGAAGAGAACAACCAGCTGGCCTTCCTGTATGTCCTCGTATGCCGCAAAGATTGTGGTGAACTAAAAACCAAAGTGTTCAGGAAAGCGACAAATACGATGCAAGTACTGAACTTTAACAGTAACCACCCAATCAGCCACAAACGCAGTTGTGTAAGGACGCTCTATCGGCGGGTCGAAACGCACTTCAGTGAGCCGGAAGACAAAATTGCCGAACTACAATACCTCCGACGGGTCTTCAAAGCCAATGGCTACCCGCACAACTTCGTCGACCGGTGCATACGCAAAAGGGACGAAAGGCCAAACCGCATGGACACCAAATCTTGGCGGGCACTTCCGTATGTCAAGAACGTTTCGGAAGCTGTCGGTCGCCTTCTCGCACCACTTGGGGTTGGAGTGGCACACAGACCGGAGGCAACCATCAGGCGTCTGATCATGAAACCGAAAGACCCACTGCCACGGCTAGAAACGTCTGGAGTCGTTTATCGGATCTGGTGCAGTTGCGGACAAAGCAACTACGTCGGAGAAACCGGAAGACAGCTCCGAACGAGAATGGCCGAACACGCGACAGCGGTGCGCAGAAATGACGCCAGCTCTCAAGTTGCGACTCATTCGACGAGATCCGGCCACACATTTAAATTCGATGAGGCCGAAATTCTCGCAAGAGGTGACAACCGAGTGAGCCGGGAGCTACTGGAATCATGGTTTACTGGCCCCCAGTCCATCAACAAGTGCAACGATCTTCCCACTCCATACTCCGTGCTAAAACTTCGCCTAGGCGGAATAACAAGCCATGCGGGGAGGACAGAGGTGAACACTTTTCCCAACACCGGGGTCGTTGCGTCAGATGGTCGAGCAATCATCACGCCAACATCCAACGCACGTGATAAAATTGCAGCAATTATCGACTCGAATGTCGGCCATCAAGCAGTGATCACACCAAGTGCGACGATCCCGGATGAAGGGGGGAGCCGTGAATGTTCATAGGTATGCGGTTGCATGGCTACTGCATCCTATAAATACCGCAGCCACTTGTGCAGCAACCACCCGTTTTTGCTCTTTTGTCTCTGATGATGGATTCGAGTAGGAATCCGAAACGTCAGGCTAATAAAGCTCTTGTCCCGGCGATCGTGTCTCTTTCTTCAATGCGTTTTTGATTAGGACGGATTACTTAGACGCGATTATAATACTGATTATCTGGCTACATGATTTTATAACATTTCGGACTCGGTGAGATTTTTGCTTTTGAAGATACTGCCTTTTACTCTTCTGTAGAAACGCTACTTGGTAAACAATGACTACTTAAGTAGCATGCATTTTTCTCATTGACTGTCGATGGTCTTGCAAATTCAAATATATCTTTTAGAAACCATAAACAAAAATATGTTTTCTTTCAGTCAATTAATAGAGAATGATGTCTTCCTCATATTCTTTTTATTCAATAAAGTAGTATAATTAGGTTTTAAAAGGTTTCTAATTATGAGATTTTTTAAGACCGCGCAATGTCCATTCACATAGCATCGTACCTGGTCGTTTATGAGAGCTCCTCGTGAAATGTACAACGTAGTCCGGATCCATTGCAAAATTTTATAAACTCTATATGGTGTCTTCGTAAACGCATAGAGGACTATATGATTTTCCTCACGTGGAAAGCATGGACCTTGTAAACGTAAATCGTTAACCGCTAATGCAATGGCAGATCTGGTTCAAAATTATTCGGGAATTGAAGAACTTTTTGAAAACCTATTTATACTCCTTCCTCAAATAAAAAATATAAAAAAGACGTGATTCTCTATTAATTGACTGAAAGAAAGCATATTTTGTTTATGGTTTCTATAAAATATACTTGAATTTGCAAGACCATCGAAAATCAATGGGAAAAATGCATGCTAATTTAGTAGTCTTTTTTTACCAAGTACTTTTTTACGGGAGATTAAAAAGCAGTGTGCTTAAAAGCTGACATCCTGCCGAGTCAGAAATATTATAGGATTATGTCGCAAGATGATCAATATCAAAACCACGCCTAAGTAATCCTTTCTAATCGAAAACACGTTTCGGAATTTCAGTCAACATTTCATGAGATAGGTCACTCACAGTAAGTAGTCATTTTTTTACAGAGTGAAATTTTTGTATCGCTTGGAAACATATTTATTTTAAGGCCGGCATCCCGCGGCAACTGAATTATTATAGAATTATACTGTATGATGCCGCATTTTAAAACCTCACTCAAATAATCTGTTCGAAACGAAAACGCATTTCAGAATTTCGGTAAGCAGTCCGTGAATTAGCCCACCCACTGTAGCAAAAGAAAGAGGAAGTTGCCAAGGGTTCCAATAGACGCCGCATAATCCTGTACTCTGACGTACCGCATACTGCTAATTTTAACGTTTTTCATTGGTGCGCACTCCAGATAAAGCCCGCAGAACACTTATCAAGTCCCGTGCTGGTTCAGGGCATCTACTGCGTAGCTCATTTTAGGGGCATTCATGCTGATTGCAGAATGGAATATGTTTGGTGACAACAACTAGCCCAGAAAGGGTCATGCCATAGTCACTTTTCTTGATTAGGAACATTCCGTATTCAGGGTTGCCTTTACTGCTGGCTACTAAAGAAAAAAGCGCGTAAATCATTTTTTTCCCTGGAATGGGTGACCAGTCCAAATGCAGTCATCCTATTATTAACGCGTATTTTAAAACCTTATCTACAGCTGTTTTCGGAGAAGGGTTTCTCCAGTAATCCTTACAAAACCTCAAGTTGTCCAGTAGTACTGCTCACAAATTTGAAGGTCTGCCCACGCAATAACTCAGAAGTACAAATAACGAAGCCGATTCTTTTACAGCTAAAAGGGCTGAAATTTGCCGCGTAAGAAATTCGTATAATACGTTGCTGCAATGATATAAGATCTGGAGTTAAGTAAAACGACGGTCCACCCTAATTCAAATCCGGGAAAGTTATGTTTTGCTATTTGGAGTTACGAAAGTATGGACGGGGAGAATGTGGTTGACAAAAAAGAAATCCCGCGTCTGCCTGCATGTATTTGCGAGGATGAATCACGATCAAATGTATATGTATACAGGGAGTTTGGATAAAGCCTGCATGAGCAACCATTTTTTCACATCAACTTCGTAGACGTCATTTTCGATTACCAGAAACCCCTCTCATTACCACGGGCACGAGGAGAAGAGAGGCGCTCCTAGGGATATGTCGTAAGTACATATTCTTCGCAAATGATAACTTGCGCAGCCGGAATACGAATATCGCTAAACGGAATGACCGTGTAAATTCTCATTCGATTCACTTTAAAAACGCAGAATGTATTTGTGCCCTGCACAGTAACAGACATGAACCACGAGGATCGACTCAACAATCCGCCGGTAAGTGATGCGGCCAAAAGACCCGATCCCTAAACAGGAGATGTCGGCTATTGTCTGCCGACTTCAGTGCAGCTGCGGAATGTGTAACTACGTTGGGGAAACCGGCCGACGGCTGCAAACGCGCATGCACGAGCATAAGTTGGCCGTGCGAAGGTTGGACCCAAAATCAGAGGTAGCAACCCATGCCGCCCAAATGGGACACGTCTTCAACTTTAACGCCGTTGAAATTGTGGGCCGAGGTGACGATCATGCGGCAAGGCAGGCGAAAGAAGCCTGGATGTCTACCGACTGTTCTGTCAACCGCCCCATCAATTTACCTCCCCCTTATCTGGTTTTACGGACATTCTTGACGGGAGACAGTCACGGCGCTGGACAATCGGGGCCGCCAACTATGGCCACGGTCAACGAAGATGGGCGGGATTCAGGTCACGGTGACATGCGGGTCGGATGCAGCCACACAGGCGGCATTGATGGGCCAGGCATTGGACAAAGTGCGCCATAAATCGAAAGCTGTGTGCACGACTGCCCATTCTCTGAAGATGGGTAGAAGAAACGACTACCCGAAACGTCAGACCTCAAATACACCTCTCCCGGTGAACGCCTCCTCGTCTTTTGATATGCCACCCGGGAATCGCATTTTTACCACTATTGTAATGAGGATCGGCTTGACTTATTGGTATGAGAGCGCGAGACTGGGGAGCTTGTGGAATTATGTTCGGGTCCATAGACAAAAATGTTTGGCTGTCAGCGAACCAGCCTCATCTGTCACGCAGCTGCTCCAAATGCACACTTTAAGCAGACTCACTTTTCTACCCGGCCATCAACCACGAATGAGGGCAGGCTACGTCAGAAGAAGGCCAGACGCAGAGAGAGGCTCTCTGGTATTTAAAGTTCCAATTTCAGCAACAAAGTAATAAACCCGTAGAGAGTGTGTGTGCGGGAGTTTGGCAGGGCCTCAAGGTTTGTGAGCGTCTGCTATGTCAGGATCAAAAAACCCTGTTCCTCGCAGTCTGGTGCGCGCTGACAGTTTTCTGACACCTTATTCCCTGCCGGTAGATGCGTTTGCGCTCTCGCTGGTTGGCTAGTCATCGCCTTCCTTCCAACCTCTTGTGGCGCTCTTTGCGTTGGTTAAAAACGTGGTCAGGTGTATGTTGTATACCAGGGGGTCTGGTGGTACGCCTAGGCGCAGGTTTACGCCTCGCAGGACATCCACGCCCCTCTCACCTCCGGTTTTCTTGACTCTGTCTTGACACTGGATCCAGGTGGGGGGGGAGGGAGTGCGCAGATGCTGCGGAAGTCTACTACCGCTACAAACTAATTCACAGGCAAGTCCCCGTGCCTGCTCTCACCTCGCCGTGGAGCACACGGTGAACATCGTCGGACACAACGGTTGAACTGCCGTGTGTGTGTGTGTGTTGTTCCCTCTAAACGGGCCACGTGTTAGATGCGCTAGACCAACACGGGGGCCACATCGTACTCTGGCAGGCGTTATCTGTGCGCAATAACAAATGCCGACACTTGCGGTGTGCGCTGGCAGACCCTGTTGTCGGCAATCGTCGTACAACTGGACCAATGCCACCACCCCATTGTTTTGTGGTCAAAATCCTGGTCATTTGTGTGTGGTTCAGGGGATGCGGAGTGGAGCGCCAAGGCGAGGATCCGTCCGAGCCATCCACCTGCGGCCTCCCCGGTCTCCGGTCTTCTTGACTTGGTCTTGACACCGGGCTCAGGCGGGGCAGGAGGAGAGAGTGTAGGTAAATGCTACGCAAGTCTACCCGCACTTTAAACCCCTGCGCAAGTCACCGTCCCTGCTCTCACCGTTGCAGCTGCAGCTGCGGGGCACATGGTGGACATAATCGAAATCGATGGTCGAACTGTCGTGCGTGTGTGCGCGCCCCCTAAACGGGCCACGTGTTAAATGCGCTCGACCAATAGGGGGACCATACAGTGAATGACCGATCTCATGAAATGTCGGCTTAAAGTCTGAAATACGTTTTCGATTAGAAGAACTACTTAGGCGTGGTTGTAATACTAATTATCATGCGGCATAATCTTATAACCTTTCGGACTTGGCACGGTGTCTGCTTTTGAATACACTGCTTTTCGACCTCCCGTAGTAACTGAACTAGGTAAAACCTGACTACTTATGTAGCATGCATGTTTCCCTTTGATTTTCGATGGTCTTCCAAATCCAAGTATATGTTATAGAAACCATAAACAAAATAAGCTTTCTTTCAGTGGTTTTATAAGGAATCATGTCGTCTTTATAGTATATACTCGAAGAAGGAGTAAAATAAGGATTCATAAAAACTCTAATTATGAGATTTTTTAAGACCCCGCAACACGCATTCACACATAATCGTACCTGGCCGTTTACCGCAACTCCTTATGAAATGTACAGCACAGTCCGCATCCATTGCAAAAATTTATGGATTCTAAATGGAATCTTCTTAAAGGGATAGAAAAATATGTGATTTTCTTTATGCGGAACGTGTGCACCTTGTATGCTGAAACCCCTTAGCGCTAATGTAACGACTGATCAGGCTCCAAATTATTCGGAAATTAGAAAAGTTTTTTAAAACTTAATTATACTCCTTCTTTGATTATATAATA